AAAAGGGGTAAAATCGCGCACGCGGAACCCCAGAAGAAGATGAAGAAAAAAGAAAAAAAAAAGAAGAGAAGAAAAAAGAAGAAGATGAAAAAACAGAAGAAGAAAGAAAAAGAAAAAAAAAGAAAATGAAAAAATAGAAGAAAAAAGAAGAAGATGAAAAAAGAGAAGAAGAAAGAAGAAGAAAAAAGAAGATAAAAAATACAAGAAGAAGAAGAAGAAAAAAGAGAGTAAAAGAAGAAGAATTAGAAGAAGAAAGAAAGAAGAAAGAAGAAGAAGAAGAAAAAAGATAGCCAAAAAAAAAAAAAAAAAAAGGAAGAGGCGCGCGTGCACAGCACGCGCGCTAACCTGCACGAGCTGACGTGCGCACGCGTCAGCATGAAAAAAAAAGGGAAGAAGCGCGCGTGACCTACACGCGCTGACGCGCGCAGGAGAAAAAAAAAATAAAAAATAAATAAATAAATAAATAAATTATTAGAGCGCGCGCGCGCTTTCCCAAGGCGCCCTCGGACCGCGCGCTCCCATCAAATTGCGCGCAATTTTGACTACCCTCTACCAAATTGCGCGTAGATTTTGATTCGCTTCACCAAATCGCACGAGAATTTCAACGCGCTTCACCAAATTGCGCGAGCTCTCCAACGCACCTCCCCAATTCGCGCGCGCTCTCAAACGGATAAATAAAAAAAAATATTATTTCTCTGCACCACGCCAACAGTTATCGGTACACCACGACACCGATATAATCTCGACACGATCCGATATCATTTTCGACTAGACTCCCAGATCGAATGGAGAGTGGGGGGCTTGCGAGACAAACCCACCGCGAGACAACTCCCACGAGGAGCAAACTCGCACGGTCATATAACCCGTTGCGAGGCAACTCCCACGATGAGCCAACTCCCTCGGGTCTACGAAACCACATCGAGATAACTCCCACGAGGAGACCACTCGCTCCGTCCTATAACCCGTTGCGAGGCAACTCCCACGAGGATCGAACTCCCTCGGGTCTCATTCCCATAGCGGGACAACTCCCACAAGGAGATAACTCGCTCAGTCATATAACCCGTTGCGAGGCAACTCCCACGAGGAGTCAACTCCCTCGGGTCTACGAACCCACAACGATATAACTCCTACGAGGAGACCACTCGCTCCATCCTACGACCCGCAGCGAGGAAACTCCCACGAGGAGCCAACTCGCTCGGTACTACGAACCCGCAGCGAGACAACTCCCATGAGGAGCCAACTCGCTTGATACTACAAATTCGTTGCAAGGCAACTCCCACGTGCAACCACCTCGCTCGATAATAAGACTCGCTGTGAAACAACTCCCACGAGGAGACAACTCGCTCAGAGCAACCTCAATCCGCACGCGCCTCAATCGCGCGTCATCCAATGCTCCTACAACTTCGCTGCAAGACAACTCTCTCGAAGAGACAACTCGCTCGCAATGCACTACATAATCGCAAGCTCAAGTTAGCACGATTACAACCCTAGAAACACGTAAAGATATTATGAGAATCTATATAGCCTGGCCAGCTTGATTACTCAAAATGTATCTACTTGTTTTCGATGGGTCCTTCATTAAAACGTGGCCACGGTCCAAACATACTTACGACCCACGAGGTCTAACAAGGGGCACGATCCCCATAAAAAAACTCTTGAGAGCCTGATCCCCTCCTCAAGTACATCACGCACAAGGCTATATGTAAACACATACAAGCAACGCGTCAAAACATTGACAATGTCGATAAATAACAACTCCCACGAGGAGAATACTAGCTCTGTGCTACTACATTATCGCGAAACAACTCCCACGAGGAGATAACTCGATCAACTCTATTACCCCACGACGAGACAACTCCCACGAGGAGATTACTTGATCCTTGCTACCACATTATCGCGAGACAACTCCCACGAGGAGATAACTCGATCAACTATATTACCCCGCGACGAGACAACTCCCACGAGGAGATAATTCGCTACTACATCGTCGCGCCAACGCGCATTCACGCCCCTCTGACACACGCTCCAACGCGTTTTCGCACACCATCGACCACTACAATTTTCACTCTCGACACGATCTGTCACCCATTTCAACATGGCCCCCACATCGACTCGAGAGTGGGGGGCTTAATGATATGCCTAGTTGACCCAACCCAATGGGCCTACAAATTATTTACCTACTGGGCCACGAGCCCAATATCGAAGACTACTATCACCGAGGCCCAATCACCTTCAAGTAAGGTTTGGACCCGACAATCTCAACTAAGCTATAAATAAAGGTTTGAACTCATTCCTTAAGGTACGTCCTATTATCTGAGCAATACTATTAATTGTATTCTCTGGACTATTTCTATGATCAGCACGTCTGACTTGAGCGTCGGAGGGGTTTCCGCCGGATCAACCCCCGTCTTAGTTCATATGTTCTATGATCGCAGGTACCTCAGGATCATCAAGTTGTCAAGCTATTGATCTGCTTTGCTCTCCCAGTTCATTTTCTACACCACCCTAGTTGATCTAAATAATTAGCATCATCAATATATATTCAGCTTAATCTCACATTGCACCATTGAAATATACCATTTTGACGAATTGCACCTTCCAACAAATTAATAATACTTTGCATCAAAACACAGTATATTATGCATAATGCACCCCACGTGAGTTTTTAAAGCTCATAAAGATCATTTAATATTTTTGGTGGTATATATTTTTTATCACAAAAAAATATTTTACGAAAAAAAATCCTTCAACTATTTCGTTATCAAGTTATTTGAAAATCATATTTTCTTCCAAATATTTCTACCTAATATTTCCACCAATTACAATAAAAGATTTATCAATCGAATAATTTAGTGATAAAAAGTTCATTGATTTTATGTTGAAGAAAATATTTTTTTTTTCAATTATTCGATGTGATTTTTATTTTTTTGCACTTTCTGCACTCGAAATTAGGTTAGAGGCTGAATAAAATAAATATTTAATTTGTTATTTTGCAACCCTAAAAAAAATCAGTAAAAAATGAATTATCCTCTATTAATCAATGAAGGGTGCATTGTGAATGATTTATTGTGTTTTGAGGGTGCAAAGTGCTATTATTGTTTTTCAAGGGTGCATAGTGTCAAAATGTTCCATTTCAAGGGTGCAAAGTGGGATTAAGCTTATATATTGCTCAATGTTATTAGAGTAAGTGGCCAACAAGTCAACTTGTGGCTATGGTCTTTGACTCCACCGGTAACCTTTTCCTCACTGACACCCGTCGCCGAGGCACTAGTGTCTGGACATCAAACACCTATACCGTAGCTGAGGCACCACCGTATGCACATCAAACACCTCCACCGCTGCCTAGGAGTTTGGAGATCAAAACAACTCTACCTCCGACGAGGCACCGTAGTCTAAACATCAAACACCTTCCATCGCCATAGTTGAATCAACCCTCCACTCACAACCTAACAACTTCCTCAGCTACGTACGGCCTCAACCAACACATCGCGTGGTTTCCTTATTAATAATAGGGGTTTTTGTGCATAAGTCCCTAACCAACCATTATATTATTTTGGGTTTAGGGGCTATATATTTTTCGCCAATAAGCTCATCCCTTTAATTGTATATGACAAAATTACCAACAACCGTTTACACTCAATTTTTAATTGTAACCCAAAGTTAATTAATTTTGACCACAAAAATCCAATTTCGACTTTTTTTATTTTCAAAAAATATTCTCTGCCGCCGGTTTCCGGCGTTTACTTTTTCAATTTTTTTTTTCTGGTCTGTTTTTTCCGCCGCCGGATTTCGGCGTTGACTTTTTTAGTGGTTTTTTTTTTTTTTTTTTTTTTTTACGGTTGCCGCTAAACATTGACAGTAATTGTGCTGTCATTAACGGTAATTATACTATCACTGACAATACATTAACGTAATTGTACTGCCGTTGACAAGTCAGCGTAGTCATTGAAAATAAAAGAACTGTAAACACAATAATATTACTGTCCACCACATCAATATTATTATTTTTTTTAGGTCGTTTTGTTTTGTTTGAGTTATTCACGGAGTAAAGTAATAATATTACTGCCTATTATTGTAATATTACTTTAAACACAACAATATTACTATGGTTGATAATTAGATTAAATTAAACTTTAATATTCGCAGTATAATTTTACTTGAATGATTATGTGAAATTGTTTATGTATGAATTCGTGATTTACTGCGAGCGAATTAATTATATGCATGTTGTAATTTAAATTTCGCTGGAAGCATCAAGGTACGCGATTAATTGTTATTATCGAGTATGTGTTTATAAGATTAACTTGTTTTTCATATAAAATTTTTATTTTCCGCGACGTCTTATGCGCGCCCTTGCGCAAAACGATCTGTGTACACGTGCCTGATTCCCAACAAATATAAGTCGATATAAAGTCAGATATTTCTTTCAAACAATAAACAAAAACTTTTGTTAAGAAAGATTATGCAGCGGAATGTAAATTACACAAGTTTTTAAATCATTATCCACAAGTAAATAACTTGTGGATGAAGCCTTTACAGGCTAAACCAGTATTCAAAAGAATACGATTGAGAAGCCAAGCTCTTCTCTTCTAGGAAGAAAACACAAGATGATTTCTTCGTAGACTAATTCCTAATAACTAGTACAAAAGCACTTAATGATATACTAGGAATACAGATTAGTATTCAATAGGATTGAATACAAAACAGACTGAATTCTGCAATGAGAAATCTATAAAGAATACAAGGTATTGTAGATGATGTTCCAACACTCTCTGCTATGCGCTCTTGATTCTCGTAAAAAATTAGTACAAATGAACTTGGATCTTCTCCTATTTATAGAGTTCAGGAATATTATGCCCTCCCCATAAACAACCCACTAAGAGAAGATATAGAATTTGTGGGATAGTCTTACACAATAATATTAGATATTTTTATTTTTTTATTCAATTTTTTTTTTTTTGGAAACAACCAACAATAATCTCGATTTGGTTTCCCCCTTCATTTTATTGATCTTATCATGTTGTATGTCTCTTCGGTCTCTTACTCTTTTCTTTTTAATGGTTCGCAGTTTGGAATTATTTCCCCATCCCGGGGTCTTCGGCAAGGAGATCCCCTATCTCCATTTTTGTTTATTTTGTGTGCAGAAGTTATGATCTCGATGATTCAGACGGCGGTTTCTCGTGGCCAACTTCATGGAGTCCGTATTGCACCACAGGCGCCTGGCATCACTAATCTTTGCTTCGCCGATGATACCCTTCTATTCTGTCGCGCCGAACCAGGAGATGCGTACACCGTAAAAAATATTTTAGACCTATACGCTCGCATCTCAGGACAAGAAATCAACTTGGCCAAAACGAATATGTGCTACAGCCCTCATACTTGCGAAACTACCAAAGGTCATACCAGGGAAATTTTAGGCTTCAAGGAATTGGAGAGACATGATACATACTTGGTGATGCCGGCATCACTAGGAAAATCTCGTAAGGAGATATTCCAATTTCTTCGGGATAGATTATGGGGTCGCCTCAAGGGTTGGGGCGCTCGACAACTTTCAAAGGCGGGAAAAGAAATCATGATCAAGTCGGTTTTACAAGCAATTCCCTCTTATATTATGAGTTGCTTTGTATTACCTGAAGGATTAATTCGGAACTTGGAGTCGTTGATTAGGCAGTTTTGGTGGGGAAGGGCTGGATCGAAGGGAATGAACTAGGTATCTTGGCAGAGACTTTGCAAGCCAAAAGCAATCGGGGGTGTGGGTTTTAGGGATTTGAGGCTATTCAATTTGGCGCTTCTCGCCAAACAAATGTGGCGGTTTACTACCCAACCAGATCTTCTTATCTCACGGGTAATGAAAGCGAGATACTTCCCGTCGGGCGATCTTCTTCAAGCACAAATTGGGAATCGACCAAGCGCAACCTAGATAAGTATTCTTAAGGCCCGACCTTTGGTTTTATTGGGAATGCGCAAGAGAATTGGTAATGGTAAAACGACGGCGATTTTGGGAGAGCCGTGGTTAATGGAGGACGGGAACCTCAACGTCTTTACTCGACGCTCAATGCAATCTGCATTTCCAAATCTAGTGGTGGATCTTATAAATCAAGACTCGAATAGTTGGAATGTTGACCTCATCGACCAATATTTTTGGCCAGTGGATCAAGATAGGATTCTTCACGTCCCTATTGGTAGTGGATTGATCGAGGATAGTTGGGTGTGGCATTACTCGGCTAATGGGAACTTTACGGTCCGCTCGTGCTATCTCAATGCTCTCAATAGAAGGTTGGAGCCAAGGGCTTCGCAGCGACGAGCGGGTGGCGATGGAAGCGGGGAAGTGGCAGAGGACTGGAAGATGGTTTGGAAGTTGAAGCTCCCCCCAAAAATGGGATAATTACACTTTTGGTCCCTCATGTTTGGTCCGGTTTCACTTTTGGTCCCCCTTGTTCCAAAGTGAACAAAGTTCACCTCCAAGTTTCAATTTTAAACACTTTTGGTCCCTGCCGTTAAATTTCCGTTAGCAAGTAACGGAAAACATTATTTTGGTGTGAAAATTGAAATTTTAAATTTTTTTAGGGCTGAAAAATAATTACAAATTAAAAATAGACTACTTATAAATTTTAATAATAAAATAAATAAATTAACCAAACAAATATTTTTTTTATTATACTTAATATTATTATAATTATACTATTTATAATTAAATTCTTAATAATAAAAAAAAAATCAACTAAACAAATTATTTTTAATCATACTTAATATTATTTTTAATTATACTACTTATGATAAAAAAAAATTAATAACAAAAAAATTAATTAACTAAACAAATTAATTTTTATTATACTTAATATTATTATAGTTATAGTACTTATAATTAAATTTTTAATGATAATTTTTTTTTTGCCAAAAAGATTTTATTTTTCCACTATGATAAAACGTTTTGGGGCCTCGTTGGTAATAAAAAATCCGAAGCGACCCTATCGATTCTTTTGTTTTTAATAATAAAAAAGAAATTAATTAAATAAATGATTGTGAATTATACTTAATATAGTTTTAATTATACTACTTATGATTATTTTTTTAATAATAAAAAAAAGTAATTAAATGAATTTCATTATACTTAATATTATTAAAATTTAATTATAAGTAGTCTATTTTCAATTATAATTATTTTCCAGTCCCAAAAAAATTTAAAATTTCAATTTTCACCCCAAAATAGTGTTTTCCGTTACTTGCTAACGGACATGTAACGGCAGGGACCAAAAGTGTTTAAAATTGAAACTTAGAGGTGAACTTTGTTCACTTTGGAACAAGGGGGGCCAAAAGTGAAATCGGGCCAAACATGAGGGACCAAAAGTGTAATTATCCCCCCAAAAATTAAAAACTTCGTATGGCGCGCTTGTGCAGAAATTACGCCAACGGGTGCTGAGTTATTTCGGCGAAGAATTACTCCGACCCCTGAGTGGGCGAGGTGTGGAAGCCGAATAGAGACAATGGTGCATACAACATATGAGTGTAGTGGAATGTCCCGAATTTGGCAGCCCCCCCATTTAATCTCCAACCTTTCTCTCGTTTGGAGTCCTTTTGGGGCTGGATTAAATTTATTCGGCGGAACTTGGACGACCATTTATTCCATTTGGCGATTGTTATTGCATGGAAGAGCTGGCAGCTACGTAACAACCATTTGCATGGGCATGACGACATCCATGTTACGGAGTTGCTGAGCTGGTGCGAGAATCTGTTGTCCCTGTTCCAAACGCACCATCTGCACCATAATGGCGGGCCCCGCCCCTCTCTTTCTCTACTTGGACTGTCCCACCAATGGCAGCATCAAAATCAATTTTGATGCAGCTCTACCTCCTGGTAAGCCGTTTTATGCGTGTGCTACGGTGGCGAGGAATCAGGATCGTCAATGTCTTGGTTGGGCTATTCGCCACTTTCCAGGGAAGCCAACACCCACTGATTGTGAAGCCCACGCAGCTCTAGTATCCATGGTCTGGGCTCGGAGACAAGAATGGGACAATATCATTTTGGAGGGAGATAACCTCACAGTCATAAACTTTCTCAAGAACAAAGAGAACACTTCAGCTTCGTTTGGCGCATTCATCGAAGAATGTATTTCGATTTCTTCTTCGTTTTCTAGTTGCATCTTTTCTTTTATTAATCGTAAGGGCAATGCTTTAGCTCACTCTTTTGCCACGAACCTTAGTTATTCATGTAATGAGGGTATTTACATTCCCTCAGACTTAGGGCATTCAGCCTAATTTATTTATCACTTTTTCCTCAAAGAAAAAAAAAGTAATATTACTGTTTGAGTTAGTAATATTGCCGGCCAAGATATAATATTATTGTGTTAACAATAATTTTACTATCATGAGACGGTAATATTGCAGACCAAGACAATAATATTAGTGTGTTAACAACAATATAATTGTTTGAGACAATAATATTGCAGGCCAAAGCAATAATATTAATGTGTTAACAACAATATTATTGTCTGAGATAGTAATATTGCAGGGCAAACAATAATATTAGTGTGTTAACAAGTAACAACAATATTCATAATTGAGAGAGCAATCTTACAATCGAATAAAATAATATTACTGTGTTCAGAATAATATTATTGTGTTAACAGTAATATTATTTTATGGCTATCGATAAGTCATGGAAAAAAAAGAAGTTAACGGCGACGACCTAATAAAAGTTTCAGGGAAAAAATAAAATCAACGTCGGTGAGGGGAGGTCAATGGTGGCGACCGGCTGGAAAAAAGGTTTTTTCTAAAAAAAGAAAAAGTGAAAAAAAAAAGTCAATGCTAGTGACTAGCGGTCAACAGTAGCAATGACCGACCGGAAAAGAAATTTTCCGATTTTTTTTATTAATAAAAAAGTCAAATTGGAGACCGGTGCTGACGGTCAACATTTAGTTGAGAGTCAAAATTGATTAATTAGTGAAATTGGAGCTAAATTAAGGTTTAAATCATGAAAGTTTGGTGAATTAGGATTTCAAAGAGTTAGGCGTAATTTTGATATATATAAGAGAGTTTTCCTTCCTTGCATATATAAGTGTTGATGAGTGAATATATTTGGAAGACAAAAAAATTGAATGTCCCGTTTTTAAATAAGTTCTCTTGTCATGGGGTGCTTTTGCAATTCACCCAAAAATACAGAGGGGTACATATAATTTTATAGTGTAGATATGCACATAATTATACATAAGGGAAAATTAGCAAGAACTCCACATCTAGGAAATATAGTTAAGGAAAATCCCCCTTAGAAAAGTAATTAGAGAAAACCCCCTTAGCTAATACTCTACTTTGCCTATTAAGTTCCAGAGACGACAATTTCCATTGATGGTTTCCTTCGCAATGAGCATCAACAAGAATCAAGGTCAAACACTTTCCCACGTTGATTTGTATCTACCCAGGCCTGTATTCAACCACGGTCAGTTGTACGTTGCACTCTCGAGAGTAAAGAGTAAATCTGGCATAAAGATTCTAATCAAGTCCGAATCCGGTGGATTGTCGAGTTCTACTAGCAACGTGGTGTGTAAAGAAGTATTTCAGCGTATATGAAGGTATAGATCATGCATGCCATCGACTATTTATCTTATTATAACTATATTATGTCTTATTAATGTGTGCATGTGCTCTTTCTGTTTAGATATATTTGCACGTGATTTTTTATTTCTAGCATATTCGCTACAGACGCTTTTGGTAAGTACTATAATGTATATATTGTTTAATTACACATGATTATTGTAATTGTTGTTTCAGTAATGCATTGAACTGAATTCATGCAAAATACGTAAACTTTGCAAGTTAACTACTATGTACTTTTTGATTTATGTGGACCTACAAGATGGTGTCATGCATTTGGTTCCATTAATTTAGTTAGTTATAGCATTTTCGGCTAGAAGACATGTCGAACAGATTATTTTATGCATTAGGTTTATCAAAAAAAAAATATATTCCTTTGGGTCGATTTTTTTGTTTATCCAACATTTTAACTTATATTAGTTTTATATTTATTTTGAAACGTTTTTCTTTACGACTATTAGAGTATATTATATTATAAGAACTCTTGTAATATTATGATTCTATTATGATTCAGTTACCTAAATTATTTATGATTTAGTTACCTAGTGAAACTCTATTACCTTGCAATATTTATCTATATATATTCTATGTAAATCAACCCATAATATAATGGGGGTTTCTATTACGTATTATTCTCTCCTCTCCAATTCGATTCTGCCTATATGGTATCAGAGCACCAGGTTTTTTTTAACCTAGCCGCGTTTCTTCTCCATGGCGGTGAAAACCGAGCCGCCTTTCTTCTCCATGGCGGTGACCACCCAATTTTCTCTCTCCCCCGGTGGTGGTACTATAATATATTTCTTTTTCTATCTTTTCCACGAACACCACCCAAATTTTCTCCCTCCCCCGGTGGTGCATCTTCTCTATCTTTTCCGACATATTTTTCTATCAGATCCATGAACACCACCCAATTTTCTCCCTCCCCCGGTGGTGGTAGCAATCTTTTCTTCCAACCTATATTATTTTCCGACATCATTTTCTTGTTCTTTCTTAGTGTGTTAATTTCTTTTTTGTCTCTTTAATATCTATACTTTGTTGGTTGAAATACCTACATGCAAGTGCACGTATCGTACAAGTAACATAGTGGACAATTAAGTCCGGATATCGAACCCACAGGGAATATTTAATTATCTAAACCTAGACGCTAAATTCTACCAATTATTATCAAGCCCACCCTACACAGTCGAATTTTGAGAGAATTAACTAAATTAAACTAAATTAAAAAGAAAATTAAAAAGACAAGAACACCAAAGCAATTAAAAACGAAGGTTTAATCAGAGTAAACAAGCCTAGGATTTCATTCTTCGCCCTATGTGATTATTATTCCCCCAATTCCTTCAATTATGCAAGCAATTGACCCGGATTATTAACCTAAGATGCTAAAATAATCATAACCCGTTTCCGCGTGTATTACGATTCTAATACTCTAGATTCAATTACTATATTCCTATGCAATTAATTCTAGAACACAACATTAAGCACAAATCTCAATAATGGCTACCTAAGAGAGCAACTATATTCCTATATTAATACCACAAAGGCTCTTCTACCACAGTTATAGTTATTAACCCGATCTTCCGATTCATGCGATTAACAATAACATAAAAGCACATAAGTTGATCAAGTTCATGCACTTAAGAAAACAAGTAGAAGAAATAATCCGGAATTAGAACTTGCATAAAATCATAGAATTGGGTTCATAAATCCCACATAGGGTTCCAAATAAAATCCTAGAAATAAGAAAATTAACTACTCATGATTAAAGGAAAAACGCAAATAAAATAAGTCATAAACGATAAAATATATGCTTGGGGTCATCGAATTCTTTGTCTTCGTTATTGCTTTATTGCCCTTGAAATTGCGTAAAAAGATCGATCCCCAATTGTGTGCTTGTCTTGGTCTTATATAGGGTGGAAAATATGGAGAAGAAGGTAGTTTCCTTGTGCAATTAGGATTCCTTAACTGTGCCTTTTCATCATCTCGGACGGCCGTCCCGAATTTTTACTAAAACTCGGACGGCCGTCCCAAAACCAGAGGTGGCTTCTGCTTCTCAGACGGCTGTCCCAGTTTTAAGTGTAAATCTGGGACGGTCGTCCCATGTTAATTTCTTCAGATTTTTGATTTCTTCACTTTTGGCACATATTTTCTCCAAAATTGCAGTTTTGACCCCATACTTTTCCAATTCTTCAATTTGTACCTAAAATACAATAAATCAACTTTTTAAGCACCGATTATCGTTAAAACACACCAAAAGCTCAAATAAAAAGGTACGATAAAGTGTAAAAATATACACTTAACAACTTCTTTTAATTATTCTTCTTCCCCCTCTCATATCTTCTCTCTCCCGATTCACCAAAAAATAATAATAATAATTATTATTATTTTATCTCCAGGTTATTTTCTTCTTTCTATTAATTTGGCAGATATTTTCAGCAAGGATTTCACTACTGCTAGATTTCGCGGGTTTTTTTGTTCAGTCTTCACGTTTGGAGTTTATTTGTTCCGACTGCGAGAGCGTGTTAGCAAGGGATTGTCCAGTCTTCACGTTCGTCACATTTTGACTGTAGGGGCGTATTATAGTATATTATATTATAAGAACTTAGGGGTGAGAACGGGTCGGTTCGGTTCGGTTTTAGGCACAAACCGGAACCGGAAAGGTTGTGTTCGGTTCCTAAAGAACAAAAAACCAAATCGATCGGTTTCTTGCGGTTCGGTTTCGGTTCGGTTTCGGTTCCTTCTTGGTTCATAAAATTCTCGGTTCGGTTTCAATAATGGTTCGGTTTTCGGTTCGATTTTGGGCTCATTTGGGCCCAAAAATCAGCCCAAAAAACGTCAATAAATCAACTCAAAATTCAGTAATAAAAAAATCATTAAAAACAAGCCCAAATGTAGGCCCAAAAATCAATGAAATTCATTCAAGTAAAAAAATATATATATTTAATGAAACGACGTTGTATTGATGTCGGTTCAGTTCCTCGTTTCGGTTTCCTACTTGGAAAACCGAATACAAACCGAAATTTTTGGTTCACATAAAATTGAAAACCGAGTATGCGGTTTATGCTTTGGTTCGGTGCAATTCGGTTCGATTTTGTCGGTTTTCGGTTCGGTTCCTCGGTTCCTCGGTTTTTTTTTCTCACCCCTATAAGAACTCTTGTAATATTAGGATTCTATTATGATTCAGTTACCTAGATTAGTTAGGATTTAGTTACCTAGTGAAACTCTATTACCTCGTATTATTTCTCTATATATTCCATGTAAATCAACCCATAATATAATGGGAGTTCTATTACGTATTATTTATCTCCTTCTTCAATTCTATTCTTCCTATAACGACCATAATTATTGAATAGCAATTTTGTTCTCGAAGGTGACTACAGTGCATCACACGGGTGAGATACTGGTCTTATCAAATTAATATAACGATAGATTGATGGGTGATGCAATAGGAGTTGGTTATTATCGTAATTACCTGAAGTTGCTTTGCTTCACTTAATTATGTCACTTGCGACAATATCTATAACAACTAATGCATTAAATTATTTATACGGTTAAAATCTATTATCGGAAAAAATAATTAATTACTTTTAAATTTTTCACGATTGTGTATTTATTGAGAATCTTGAAAAAGAAAATAAAATTAATTGCATTCTCTACTTTTACTACTATAA